ATATGGGGTAAGTCCCTCTTTGTTCATCAATCCAGGATACTAACCAGCTGCCAGCAATTGGTGGATGTAGGCAAACATGCAATTAGTACCTCCAATCCCAAAGAAATTTATGATTTATTTAAAAACTTTGGCACTCCAGATGACCATTCAATTCACTTCTATGGACAGGCAGCTTCTGGCCACATCATAGTCTAAATTATTTCACTATTCTGAAATCACAAGTTCCAACAGGCAGTATGCAAAACTGCTAGCAACTCTTTCCTACAAGACTTCTGGAATTTAGGTATGAAACTTTGTAAATAAATAATCTAGTGCATTACAGTTAAGGATTAAAAATCCTAAACAACAATTTCATCAATTCTTTTCTGCTGGTATTTTAAATGGTGTCATCTCACAGACATTAATAACTCCAGGAATCTGGGTCAAATCAATGCTGTCAGCCATTATATAAATTTGCCACGATTTTGAAAGCTAAGAAAATGAGAGCCTTTCACAATTTAGGACAGGGCCCTGCATCCCGAGGCTATGGACTGGTACCAAACCATGGCCTGTTAGGAACCAGGCCGCACAAATGACAGGTGAGCAAGTGAAGCTTCCTCTGTGCATGCACATGATAACTCTAGGTTGTATGCGAACCCATCCCCCCTCCCAGTCCATGGAAAAAATGTCTTTCACAAAACTGGTCCCTGGTGAGAGAAAGGTTGGGGACCGCTGGTTTAGGGGACTCATTTCTTCTGCAATAGCTTGTGCTTGATTGGGTAACCAACTAAGTTTCTCAACTTTCTCCCTGAATATGTAACATTATTAACATTATGTTCTACCAACCTGTCCATGACCAGAACAACAGGCTGCATTTTGATGTAGTAGTTAAGGTGCTGGTGTAGAAACCAGTAGACTATTTCTCTCCCGCCTTCACATTAAAACCAGTTGGGTGACTTTAGGCTAGTCACTCTCTCAGCCCAACCCACCTCACAGGATTGTTGTGAGGAAAAAAGGAGAATTATGTCGCTGTCCTGAATTACATTAAGAAACAAGATATTCCGACAACAGCATCCACAGACAATTCTTGCTCTGTCTCTGCAGAAAAAGCTAATTCAAAATCCTTGCTGCTCTCTAAGCATTCAGTCTATGCTTTCTTCAACTTAGTCTTTGTAGTCTCTAAATCTGTTTCTGCCTTTCCTATAACCATGCTATATTTCTCTCCCTTTATTTTGGAAATCTTTCAAAAGTGCATTTTAAATCTGTTACACTGCCCCTACCCCAAATCCCCAACTTTTATACTATTCATTCATCATCCATTTATTTACACCAAAGACCATACACCTTGAAAAGGATTTTCTTGCTTGTGTGGCCTTATTTTAATGCAATATTCAAAAATACTTTCTTTCGTTGGAGGCCCTGGTGATTTAGTTCTGAATTTGTTATAGACACACACTTTTTCAAAGGCCCTTTTTTCCATTTTAATTTTTCCCCCTCTAACATAAATGATGAGGGAATGCCTTATGGTTCCTTCTGAACCAAGTCAGGTCACCTTAGCTTTTCCTCACTGGAAAAAAAGAAAACCAGTATTACTTCAAAAAATGCTTCATAGCTCCAGGTAACTCCACCCAAACAGCAAAGCTACCAACTGTAAGGCTTCACAACTCTGGTTATTTTTTTTCTAGTGGCAAAATGACAAACATTCTAGAATGCTATAAATATTCCCACCCTGTACATCACAGTTAAAAAACGTTTCTCCACCTCTCTCCCAATTTACACCCTGTAGCTAATTGTTAAAGCTAGAGCTGCTAAAAATCATACATTCTCAAGAGTTAGAAGAAAATCTACTTCTGGGTATAATCTGAAGTTTTCGGAAAGAGCTTTTGCCTTAACCAATCAAAGGGAGAAATGGAGCATTGTTCCTTAGGCATAAAAAAAAATTCTTCCAGAATATGACATTAAGAAACTCAACCACCAAAGGGAGGCAGAACAGCAAATTGGGGACAGAGAGTAAAGTTGAGGAAAGCCACACATTACTCAAACACACCCAACATCAATCAAGCAAATAATCCATATCTTTGCCATGATGAATGCTACTCAGTAAAGTTTAAAACTGATTTGAAAACAATCAAAGGACAGGAAAGAAGGCACCCATTCTCCGGAGGATTTAACAAAAGAATACTCTCAAAAGTTCGGATTTTTCACATAGATGTTAGAGCTAAAAACCATTCTAGCAAATTTAGCATTATAGTTCTAGCAATCCACACTATTAACAAAGTGATTCCCATTTTTTCCAAAATGACTAGATGTATCAGCAGCACAGCAAAGACAGAACAAGTTTGATCCAGTGTTTTCAACATGACTACCCACTCTGCTTACATGTACAAGTATTCATTAATCAGTACTAGTTTGCATATATTCTCCACAAAACTTTACTAAATATACTCAGGAGCAGAGTTTAAATTTTAAGTCACCTTCTTATTCTAATCCACAAAATAATAAAACTGGCTCAAAATGGAAAGCCAATCTACAAAGTGCTGGATCTCTTATCCTGCATCTCCTTGTATGGGACTTCAGTGCTATATTGTGTCTTTGTACTGCAATCTTAAGAGAAGTGTCATTTCAACTCTAGTTTTGCTTACTTCATTGGGCAATAATATTGTGGAAAACTTCAATTTTAATTGATAGGTTTCTATTAAATCATTCAAAGCTTTTTCAGTTCTCTTGATTTTCTTTCAAGTGGGAGGGGAGGGAGCTGAATAAAACAGAACAGTTATTGCTGTTTAGCTAACTTCATGAGACCCATAAACAGAGCAAATGGATAAATGGCCAACTACTACTTTTGGGAGAGGCAGTTATGCTAATAACAATAGAACAGGGGCTGGCAACAGACAGACTACCTTGTTTTCCAGAATAAAAATGCATGTTATATAATATCTTCCTAGAATACATTAAAACATTTTAGAAGGATGAAACTCTTGCACAAAGCACAACTTGACTCTTTGGTTTCAGTTAATGACATTTTCACCCTTTCAGAGTGCCCCCCCACCCGTTTTTAAGAGTCAGGATGGGGAATTATTTCTATTTAATCCCAACATTTCATATATACAGAGTATATGCTTTAGAAAAATATTACCATGCAATAAATTTCCACGTGAATTGTACAGAGTGACTTTTTCCCCCTCGGGTGTAATCATACAAAATACATCTTTTCCCAAAACATTTTATATCTTAATTTCTCAGTGGCGTAAAACAGGCAGTATCAGATGCACTATATTTGGTTTTTATAAACCACCAATTCACATAAGTGTGAGTATTTTGCCACATACGCTTTCCAGGGACAATTTTATTTCAACTCTGAAACTGCCATGCATAAACAGCATTATAGTCATTTAGTATGGAACATCCATACTTTTTTCTTTTGGAAATAGAAACCTATGTAAATACATCGAATGGAAATTTTTTCCAACACTACAATTGCTTTTACCGAAGGCAAACAATGTGAGGGTCCAATATGCTTATGAGACTTGGAAATAGCAAAGTTAAAGAACTGCTCACACAACTTGCTTACCACAAAATTACTAATGAAGCAACACACCTGCTTACACTTGCATGACAGACCGAACCTTAAACTACTCAGAACCAGATCCATATATATTACCAAAGGCTAAAAAAAACATGACTGGCCCTTGGAAGTCACCAGCAGCTTTTACTACACAGATCCCAAAAGAATCCCTTGGGCACGAAGAGGCCACTCAAACTGGAAACTCAGCAGACTGAAGCAATTCCTCCCCTACTCCTCAGAACCCAGAGTAGAGTAAAAAGAAGGGGGGAGGCACCTCCTCAACCTCTTTCCTGACCATCTAAAACTTTTGAAACTGGAATCAAGAAGCAGGTTGCATGCAGCAGGGTGGCAGTGATGGAGTTTCCCATATTCACAACAATAATCAGCTTTAGAAGGATGCAAATTGCTCTTTGTGCCTGACAAATGCCCCCTCCCCAGAATTAAACTACCTTCTCCTTTTCCAGCACCAACATCTCGTTTATGACTCAAATCGCTCCTCCAGCTCTGGAAGGTCTTAAAAAACAAAAGGAGCCCCAGAGAAAACCTGCAGACTACTGCAACCAGGAGCATTGCTCAGGTGACTTGAGGGCAGATAAACCTTCCAAGTGGCTTCAAAGGATGCAAATGCCGATGTTAATGACCCTAACCGTACCCTGCCAGAGCTAAGGAAGCTTCTTGGAGAAGCGAAACGTCTTCCAAAAGAAACACAAAATAGTCCAGTAGCCTCCTGAAAAAAAACAAACCTTTGGGACCACGGGAAGGGACTCCCTTCACCCACACTGCCCTCCCCCAG